AGTTAAAGTAGGGAGGGGGAGGGGGAGGGGAGACGGTGGTGGAGGATTGGGGTGCGGAGTGAGGTGGGAGATGATGAGGTGAACATATCTCACGTGTGGTGCGGAGGAAGATGATTGGGTTTTTCTGTTTTCGTGGGATAAGGTTTAGGCAGATAAAGAGAAGAAACAAAGGAATATTTAAGAGGGAAAATTTTCTTTTTCATTTTTTTATTTTTATAAATTAGGATCTTATACTTAGATGCTGTATTATCATCACCAACTCTGTCATTCTATAAACTCCTACTCCTACCAAAAGGATTTTCTAGTAGTGGAAGAATTTTAGTAATATACACATCTAAAAAAATATATCAAGCAAAATTTCGTTACTACATTAAATTCTACTCTAGCACATAGACACAAAAATAGAGGTTAAATTATTAAATAAGTTTCTAATTATTTACATATTTTCAAACAAGTCCCTAACTTTTAAAAATATATTTAAATAATGAATAATGAATAATGAATATTTTATTATACTAAATACAAATATATTTAAAGAGAAAATTTTTAAAATTGAAAGATTAAATTATTTAAGTCAAAATATCACTTTTGTTTGCATAATGTATTAAAGTTCAACATAAATCAGTTTGAAATTAATATTAATTAAGATTATGATAATAATAAATTTTAGTTCAGCTAAAAGGAAAAAAAAATACATTCAATTTGATAATACCAAGTTTTTAAATCAAAATAAAATTAAGTAATAATATTTTAAAAGAGATAAAATTAAGTACTTAATATACAAGAGAAATAACTATGTGAATCAAGAATAAAAATATAACTACTAAAACCACTCTAGTTCAAGAATGTAATTTCAAATTTATATTGTATGAGAAAATATCATCTAATAAAATTATACTTCTATAAAATAGAATGAGGTTCACATTTATTTGCTAACTTACAAAAGAACTTATATAACTACCAAAGTCAACCTAGTAATAGAGAGTTTAGATAATATATGCATAATGTTAAGCTCATACTCTAGAACTGTTAATGTAATTTTAATAGGTAAAAAAATTAATCTATATATATATATATATATATGTATATATATATATTTTTGGTTTTGGAAGACTAGTAGTGTATTTGATTGGAAGAAAAAAAATAGATGAGAAAAAAATAAATAAATAAAAGTTAGGAAAGACTGAAATAGAATGAATTATACATTAAAAAATAAAGTGAAAATATAAGTGTGAAAATTTATAGAAATAAAAAAAATAAATAGAAAAGAAAAAGAAAAATAAAAAATATTTTTCATTAACTTTTAAATTAAATAATTATTAATTTTATTTAATCAATTAAAAAACATTCAATTTTTTTTATTTAATTGATTAAATCAAATATTTAATCGATTAAATAAAATAAAAAACTAGAAAACAATCTAACACAAAGCATCATTTATCACTCAATAATTTGAGTGTGAACGGTAGGAGATTTCCACATAGTGTAGCATGATATTAAAAAGGTGTAAGTACAACTTTTATTTTTCTTTCTCCCATCTATTTCTTCGCAATCAAACAATCTCATCATTCCCTCTTCCCTATTTCTTCAATTCCATACCAAACTAAGTATAAAAAGGTAATTTCATTCAAATTTGCAAAGAAAAACAGTAAATTTTTGTATGCGACGCTGTTAAACCAATGACATAAATACGATACTTAAAAAGTTTTGCAGGGTATGGATAACGATTTAGAATCTTCCTTTCCTAACACGTGCCCAAGCTAAGGCTGCAACAGCAGCACCTCCCAAATGTGCAGATCCTGATATTTGACTGTCTCCCTGCAATGTGATAGTCAACAATAACTTTTAGTATTCATCCAATGAATGACGAGAAGTGTAGTTCTAAAGATATGCATGTATCGTGCTGAGGCAACGGCTTGCCAAGCAAAGAGGAATGTATGTTCTCTGCAGAGGCAAGGGAGATGATAAAGGCCAACGTGGGATAATCACTCACTTTATATAAGTAACTTGTTTGGCTGTATCATTGGCATTGCTTTGTTTTAGTTATTATCAAAAGATAGGTTTTATGTAGTCATTTTATGTGATAACCGTTTTTCTTAAACAGAGAAGAAAGGGAAGAAGAATGTTAACCAAGAAAATTATACTTTTCTGGTGAAATTATCGTCGACAGTTCACAGATCGTGCTATGGGTTTTTAATTATCAGTTTTTATATAAGTTGATAATGTTAACATGAATGTGTGACTACACAAGAAAGGACAGGATATGGAATGATTGTATAACAAAAATATTAGTGTGGCACCTATTGAAAAAAAAAAATGATAGAAAATCAGTTAAAGTACTTCGGACATGTGCAAAGAAAGTCCCCGAAGACACCAGTCAGTGAGAAGAGTAATTCACATGATTTCTAGTCTTGTAATAAGGTATCTCATTGTGAATAATACTTCCAAGAATGTGGTTTTATAAAACACAATGACGTTGTGTAATCCACATAGCTAATCTTATCTAGTGAAACAAGACTTATGTAGTTATATCAATTAATAGCAAGACTCTATTATGACTTATGATTCCAATTTGACATTTGATCAAGTTGTTTTGTCAATTCCTAGTTAAAATCTATCAAGTTAGGCATTATAAATCATTTATATGATATATATATATATATATAAATAAAGCTATTTTTTCATCCTATTTCTAAATCTTATTAACCAATTCAATTTATTATTTACTATTCAAAATCTGGTTTGTGATAGAGGATTACTTGAGGAGGAGACTACGGTCCATGGAAAAGGAAGATGACAGCAAGGTTAGGAGGACTCGTCACAAGGGATAGGAGCCAACAAGCACATGAAGATCTATCTAAAACACAATCAAGTGAGAAAGCAATGCTTTTGGAGGGAGAGAGGCCAAAAGATTATTGTGAGTTTTCATGATTGTGGCATTGTTCATCCAGTCATCTAATTCCGCTTTTCATTTTCTTCTTTGGATATTCTTAGTTAGTGGTGATTTGAATCAATTGCGGAATGATCTGACTCAAACAATTGAGGCTTGACTTACATCAGTTTGGCATCAAGATTGTGACAAAGAAGACTACTTTTTTATACAAAAATTACTACCGACAGGAGAGATCTACTTAATCTTGAAACAGTATGAAGAAATGAAGTTGATATTTATTTTTAGTAAATTAAACACTCCCTTTTTTTTTAACAATTATAGAAACATCCCTTATAAGAGACACGGTAAATGTTTTTCAAACAATTAAGGAGGGTTGATATAATATCTAAATAGTATTAGTGACATGTTTTTCAAACAATTATGGGGGTTAGTGTAGGGGGTAGAAAAAACAGAGGGTTTGTCTACAATCTTGCAGAACCTCAGAATGTGTTGGTATAATTTACTCTATTTTTCTTTTGGGTATAAATGGTAGCAATGACTAATGAGATTGGAACCAATGATCTCATAGACTCATACAAACCACCTGAGACCATCGCCACTAACCCAATCCTAGTGGCTTATTTAGCAGAATTATGTTAATGTCATTGAACTGGTAGTTACGACCCTAGCATTTGATCATTTCTCTACAACTAAGTTACTCAAGATGGAAAATACTATGAAAAATAGTTAACAAGTAAGCCTTGGAAAGTTCACCCTACCTCCATTATCCGCAGCAAATCATTCCCAATCCAAAAGATACCCTTAATTAACAGGAATTTACAAGACAAAAAGAAAGAGATGAGTATCCGCATTACAAACTTCACAATTTTGGCTTAGCATAAGGTTGAGAAGAGCATACCAGAAAGATTGCAGGAACTGGTATAAAAAAATTAAAGTAAATGGTCGCTTTTGGAAAGAGGAATATGTCAAGTAGCATAATTGCATTCACAGCTCCACTTGCCCCCTGATGATTGCCAAGTTCCAGTCCAATAATAGGAGGTAGTGATTTTAATCAATGTCACAAGTTATACAAGAAAATAAAAATGATAGAAACAATTTAACAATTAAGAGAACATTTTTTTTTAAAAAAAAAAAATGACGTTTCCTGCAACTAGGAGAACTTAATGGAATGGACAGCACAAAATAGATTAATGCTGGTAGGCAATGACAGCTTATCTAAACATATCGAAGTGTGCCATAAAGGTGCCTAAAAAAAAGGTGTAGGACCCAAAATGGAATGAACTGTTTACTACATTGAATCTCGTACCAGAAAGAAATTTTCTGTCCTGTCATGTTAAGCACCCATGAAAAATTAAATTTTATGCAGCAATATCCTCTTTTGATTTTGAATAGAAATATTTCCAAGAATTAACATAGTTTAAAAGTAGAAGGTAAAAATAATTCCCTGAAAATGCATTGTTCATCAAAAACATAATTGGCAAGTCAAACCAAGAAAGTCTGTTAGCACAAAACATGGACTATATCCCCTAAAGAAGAGGAGCCGATTAAATAATTTATATAATAGTTTCTAAAGGCTCACCATTGCTATTTCCTTTGACACAGTCATAGCTCTCCAGTCCTGTTGCAAACAGAACGCAGAGAAACATTGAAATTCAATAAAGAATAATTGAGAAAAAACAAGAGAACAAGTATTCAATTTTGTTTATATGTAAATGAAATTTATCACTAGCCAGTAATCACCTAAGCATAAAATATGTTTATTATCATTTTACCATTGTATCCTATAACAATTTTTTTTTACTATCTTTGAGGAAAAAAGCATTTTTAGATCTTGGCTCCAAATCAAATATATTATCAAACATTTCAACAAAAGTTTCAGCATTGAGTTTCAAAAGTTACAGGTAGGTACATCAAAAAGAAAGTAAAATATAAAAATTAATATCTCAAAAGATTGTGATTTGAAGAATTGGTATATTAATTACTGTATTTTTTTTCCTTCTAGGTTCTGAAGTTGGCATAAATCAAAATTTTGTTAATTTTCTTTACTCAGAAAATGCAAGAAAGAGAGTTATAGAATTGCTCGAGAGGCATTGTACTTAATTTTTAATCATCATTGGACCTTTGATGTTTGTGCTTTATAGGCCTGATGCATTAAGTAAAAAACAGAGCCACCAACTGCCCCAGCAAGATAGAGCTTCAGCAAAAATTCAGGTCCAAAATTTCTTCCAACCTGCCCAAAGCCCAGCAGGA